TGCTTTGGGAATGTGGAGGCCAGCGCGCTCTTCCGCGATACGAGAGTGGCGACAGAAAGCCCCAGGCCTGAGCCCGTCAGCGAGTCACCCACGGGTGGCCGAGCAGCGGCCCTGGGCCCAGGTGCATGAGCGTCGTAAAACTGGCCTTCTACTGCAGGCTGCCCACAGCCGGCTCTGGTTAGGGGCTGGACTGGCTGCTGGCCACAAGGGCTGCCCCGCAAAGCCCTCCTTCCTCTCTGCTTCCCGTCCCAGCGTTTTCCCATCCTCCTGGCTTCTCAGCTCTCCTAGAACCTTCCATCCGCCTGCCCCAGGCGCTCCTCATCACGTCCTTCCTCTACCTTGAGTTCATTGGATACGGCGGGGGCGGTCAGCCTTTCAACGCTGTGACGAACACCCAGATAACATATAAGAAAACGTATATAACAAAGTAGACCAATGTAGACCAAAACATATAACCACATAGAATGAAAAGCTGTATTTGGGCTCCCAGGTTTGGAGGTTCCAATCTCGGGTTAGCAGGCTGGCTTCCCTTGGGCCTGAGGCGGGACACCGGGCAGGGTCCTGTGGTAGAGAAGGACCTCAGACCTCCTGGCTGGGCAGCAAAAGAGAAAGAGAGACAATCCCCTAATCTTCTTGCAGGAGCCAAGCTGCGGACTAGGATAGTTAGGACCCAGGCCCCAGCCCTGGGGATTTCCCACGCTGAGCCCGAGATGTGGCGCTGCTGTGCCCAGCCCTCACAGCCACCGTCCTGCCAGCCCAAACCCGCCTGCTGCCCCAGGCCTCCCATCCTGGCATCTCAGAGCCCCCAGGGAGGTTTAGCTGCCCAGCTCCAAGTGACCTCGCTGCGCTGATCCCTCTGCCGGTGACCTCCCAGCACCCAAGCTCTATGCACACACCTGTGAGTCTTCAGTTATCCCTGAGAAACTATCTGCTTGATCACAAATTCAAATAACAAACTTGGAGCTGGGCACACCTGTAATCCCAGCACTTGGGAGGCTGAGGCAGGAGGATCCCTGGGAGTTCAGGGCCAGCCTGGGCTACAAAGTGAGCTCAAGGCCAGCCTGAACTGCATAGTGAGACCCTGTCTCAAAAAAAGACAAAAACAAAAAACAAAACAAAAAAAATCCCTGAACTGCTTTTGATGCTTTTTTCTCCTGAGGATTTTTGTTTCTCTGCTCGGGGTCAGGAGAGTAACTTTCCTTTCATCACCTTTGTAGTTTTCGCATGGGACCCTCCTAGCTTCCCACGTAATGTGGGAGGTCAGAGTCTCTCTTCCTCTCTGCTCTGGCTCAGTCTCCCCGGCCAGGTGCTCCTCGGGCTTGCACGGTGAGGCCGAGTCATGCTGGCCTTGCCTTCTCCCAAGCTGTCTGTCAGCTGCAGAGTTGGGGGTGGGGGTCTTATGAGAACACTCACCGCTCACATGGAAGTTTCTACCTTTATAAAGTCAACCCTGTCATATTACTTTCTTACAGGTTTTGTGCTTTGTTTTTGGCACTGAGAATTGAGCTCAGGCCTTCACATTGAGCTGCATCCCCAGCCTTTTATTTTTTATTTTCAGGCAGAGGCTCAAAACCGTGACCTTCCTGCCTCAGCTTCCCAGACTGCTGGGATTATAGGTGTGTGCCTCCACACCTGGCTTCTCACAGGTTTTAGAACAGCAACTGTCTTTGACGTTGAATGCCCTTCTCATCACTCCGTGTGCTCTGCATCTGGCTGGGCGGGCTGGGTGAGGAGACCGGCGTGGGGAAGAGTGAAGGGGTGAGCCTGGCTTGGGGGTGCCCTGGGAGGAGGAGTCCCAGGGCATGAGGCCCTGAGACCGGCTTGTGCATGGTGGCGGCAGCCTGACAGAGTCCAGGAGAGCAGACACGGGACACAGGAGGAGGTGCCTGTGGGACCCCAGAGCAAACATGGCCTCCTGGGCAGGAGCTACTACGTAGGGTGGGCTCGTGGCCTGAGTGCAGTGCTGGAGTTAGGAGTGTGCAGCTCCATGCCAACGTGAAAGGCACACGTCCCACCCCTCACCTTGATACCCCCTCCAGGAAGCCCCGGAAGGTCCGAGTGGAGTCGCGGGCTCCCGGAGTCCTGGGCCCACACTGGGTGCATGGGGACAGCTGGCCCTGAGTTCGAGCTGTCCCACGCAGAGACTCCAGCACCCACGTGTGTGTCTTCTCTCAACCCCCACGCGCCCCCGTCCTGTCCCTGCTCCATCCGAGCCACCCACCGTCAGCCGTGTCAGGGAAGCCATCTCAGAACCCTCCTGGCAGGAATTCTTGCTTCTCCATACCTGGCGTATGGTCCGGGAGTTGGGGGGGTGGCGGGGCCCGGGCCTATGGGCCACACAGGGAAAGCTGGGTTGGGCCAAAGCAGGGCCTCAAAAGCAGGGGCCCCAACCCCATGGCCTGGATCTGAGGCCAGCCCCTGCAGGGTACGGGGGTCACTGCCGCTCAGGAATCCAAGACACACGCGTTGTGGAGCCCTTGTTGTTTATTTTTCAATAAACAAGAAATTTTTTTGCATTGTCTGGACTTTTATTAGGCGGGAAAGCTCAAAAGATCACCAAAGACATCTCTTTTAACATTTTGGTTAGAAATTGTCAATACTCCTGCTTCTCTCCGAAAATTTGGGACCGAATAGAGAATGAGTCTCAGCTCTCCTTTAGCTCTCCCTCGTAAACTGCACACCACACCAAGCTCTCCGAAGGGACGCTTGGGCAGTCAAATCCCAACACTCTCAGCAGATATGGTTACCCTAGAGGACGGGGTGGGCCATGTCTGTGTGACGTGAAGACAGAGGCGAGACACTGGCGCTGCTCCTCCTGCTCTGGGGCGGGCGCTGTGAAATTTGGGTGGGGCGGCCTCATCCTGTGCTGGCTAGAGATCTTTTGTCACGTGGGAAGGGTGGTGGCATTCAAAGGGAGACGTCTGCTCAGGACTCTCCACTCCCACGGCGTTTCGCCTGCACTGTACTAGGCTCTTGGGGACACCTGCGCATCCCCTCCCCTCCCAGACTGTCCCCCTCAGCCTGCATGTCCCACAGTCCCCGCACACTGCCTTGTGCATGCAGCAGGTGCGTGGAAATGCTCCCTGATTGCATGATGGCGAGGATGAGGTGGCGAAGGTGGTGAACGGACGGGCAGTCGTCGAGGATAGCCGGGCCTCCTTGCTCGGCGGTCACCGGGTGACCCGGCTATTCTCTGCCCGGTGGAGATGGCAAAGGAAACATGGAGAACTGGGTTGGTGCCTCCAACCGTGAGATTTTGCGTTGGGGAAACGGAGGAACAGAATCGTCAGCGGTCTCGACCAGGGTCTCACGCTGAGAGCGGCCAGGCAGCGTACCAGACGACTGCCCGACACAGCCAACCATTCTTTTTTTGTCTTTCTTTTATTTACAAAAAACGAAAAAGTGAGATGGGATGAAAACTGGGGTGACTTACTTGGGGTGAGGGTTACCAGGGACGGGGCAGGGGTGAGAGAGGGGGCCCCTGGGTGATGGGGGTAGAGGAGGGGGAGCTCCACTGCCGGCCAGTGAAGATGGGGCTACGGGTGGGGGCTGGGGTGAGGTTGGGAGGGTCTAGGCAGGCCGCCAAAGACCAGGGCTTGGGGACCAGGGGCCGGGGGTTGGGTGGGGGTCTTGGGGACAGCTGGTGGGGCTTTGAGGACTTGGGGTGTCGGTGGGGGGTGATCGTCAATGATTGTGATGACGGAGGCGCATGATCGATGGGTGACCGTGATGGAGATGATGTGGATGGAGGTGACCATGGCTTGCAGCAAGGTAAACTCGGCAAGTTGCTCTTAGTAAAGCTAAGAACAGATTTCTACTCCAAGAATTTAAGAAGCAAAATATAACTAACTGGTACCCAAGGGCTGTGTAGCGGGCCAATCCTAAGAGGAGTTGGAAAGCTACACAGAGCTCTGTCCCATTTCTTTCTATTTCTACAAAAAGGATAGATTGCTCTTTTTTTAAAAAAAAAAACAAGGCCAAGTCTCATAATTCAGAAGCTGGCTAGATCTTACGGGATCTGAGAATTCTTAGCAACACAGTCGTAAACCCACAGCTGTGCAGACCACAGCCTGTTCCGCTGCGGCCACAGAACAAGAAAACGCCCCACAAGCAACTATTTCCACTATTTCTACTGTGAAAACCTTGGTGAGGGCGGTGTTGCTGCTCAGATTCTGCCAGGGGCACTTACGGTCAAGGTGCACTTAAATCTCAAAGGCTTCTCTAATCTACAAGGTAGGGGGTTCCCCCGTGGGGCGGGGAGCAGGGTGGGCCCGGGGAGGGGTGGGGGCTGGCTGCCTCGCGGCAGCTCCAATGGCACATTGTGACCCGAAGGGGCCGATTTCTCCCGCAGGGGAAGCGAGCCAGGAGGCTCTCCACTGAGTCAACTCCAGTATCAAGTGAACAGCTAGGATAGGCCAAAACCTTTGGGATCCCAGGGTGGGACTCAGTTGTCGCCAAGTCCTACATTCGGGGTCAGGACCCGTTTCCGTAGCTATGCCTCATTCCTAATTCTGAGTTTGGGAGTCAGAGAGGACCTGGATGGTGAGTGGTCAAACCCCTCCTTCGAGAGGGGCGCAACAGTGGGCCCGGGACCGGGGTGGGGACTCGCCAAGGATCACACAGCGAGTTAGTGGCAGGGCTGGGACGAGGTCCCAACCCCCCAGCTGCCAACCCGGGGCTCTCTCTGCCTGCAACACAAACCGCTGCGCTCTCTGAAACCTCAAAGCGACTGGCAAGATCGAAAGGTCACGGCGTGGAGCTGGATGTGAGCATGAGTCGGGTGTGGGACGTGAGAGGGACGGATGGAAGCAGACTTTGGTTTTTCACAGTGAGCGGTCATGCACAAGATGTGCACAGTTTCACGAGGACCCTGTGGCCGAGACCCCTGGGTGAGGGGCGTCGGCCCTGAGCCCCGGTATGTTGCCTTGTTTGTTTTTGGACTTTTTGAATTTTATATCAAAAGTTTAGAATAACATACTTCTATATATTCTACTCATTTATAAATGAAATTCTTATTATTCTTATTATTCTTATTATTTGTTATCATGCATTAAGAGAGAATAAGGAGGGCTTGTTCGGTATTGTGCTTGTCACAGGGCAACACAAAGACAATATAGGTAAGCGTAGCGTGCACCAGACTCAGCACAAAAGAGAGCAAATTCCACCACAAAGAGAAGCACAGACCGCATATAGTGAGCTCTGCGGAACCCCGAGGTTAGAGGGGGGCCCGGGCGGACGGCGCTTAGATCTCCTCGATGACCGCCTCCTTGCCGAAGGTGGTCATGTCGATCTTCTCCGGGAAGATGATGTTCACCGCCACATCCTCGCCGCCGCGCTGCTGCAGCAGCAGGTTCTTCTTCTTGCGTAGCATGCTGTTGTAGCGCAGGTTGGACACCCAGGTCTCGCATTTGTTGATGAAGACGATGGCCACGGTGCCCAGCACCACCAGGCCGGTGAGGACACCCAGGATGGTGAAGCACACGGCCTGGCCCTCGGTGAGGAGAGGGGTACTCTTGTTGAGCTGCTTCATGGACACCTTCAGGACGCGGTGCTCGGGCCTGGGCAGGGGCAGCTCGTGCACCCCAGGGGTCAGGCGGTAGGGCAGGCCGTAGCCGTTGGGCACGTGGGCGACCTGCGGGGCGCCCGCCACCCGCTTCTTCACGCAGGTGGGGCCCGTGAACGGGGGCTTGCACAGACACTCGTGGCTCACCTGGCCGTGCTGCAGGCAGGTGCCCCCGTTCAGGCACGGGCTGCTGGTGCAGCTGGTCACCGGGCGGCTGCAGGTCTTGTCGATGAAACCGGCTGGGCAGCGGCAGCGGAAGTCGCCCCCGATGTCGGTGCACACGCCGTCGTTCTCGCACGGGTTCGGGTTGCAGCTGTTGGTCATGATCTCGCAGAAACTGCCTGAGAAGCCAGGGGGGCACAGGCAGGAGGCATGGGAGGCCCGGCCCTCATCGTCCACGCAGGTGCCTCCGTGCTGGCAGGGGGAACTGAAACACAAGGACAGGTGACAGGCCCTCGGGAGCTGGGCTAGGACAGGCGCAGCCCCTCTGCCCCACGCCTCGCCTGCCCCATCTGGTGAGGGCGCGGGGGAAGCATGCCAGTCCAGGTGGCACCTGTGTGGGGTGCCCACCGCACCCCATCACGATGCCACCCCGGAAGAGACCTGACCTCCCATGCCGCGAAGCCTACATCCCCTCCCACCCCTCATTTCATCTCTCCGACCAAAACACTGATGGTCACTTACTAGACAAAGGGGAAACTGAGGCTGGGAGAGACACTGTCAGTCAGAGTCCAGATCTAGAGCAAGCCCCTCCCTTTAGCTCCACCCCTGGGCAACGGAGGCAGAGCCAAGCACAGCAGGCTTCGCTCACCCCTCCGGGGACTCACTGTCCTTGCTGTCCTGCTTGTGTCCTCTGTCCCACCCCCACCTTTATTAGAATTTTTATTTCTGGCAGACTGGCCTGCAGGCTATGGTGACGGGAACCTTTGGGGACTCTCAGGGCGAAAGAAACTGGGGCTGTGCTTGTGCCAGGGCAGGCCAGTGTCCGGGGGGTGCATTTTGTCGGGGCCCATTCATCCAGGTGCAGCTTGCGGGCCCGGGCTGTTTGGACCACGCTGAGCACACGCAGTGCTTAAGAGCTTTCGAGCGAGCGAGCCCCTTGTCACCTGGCAAATGCCGAAACTCCAGGCCTTACACACAAGAAGTCAGCACTGCTGCTTGGGGGTGAGGGGCTGGGCTCTGAAGGAATTTTCAAGGACTTGCGGCTCTATTTTGACAGACTTGTTCAAGTTTGATAGAGAAAAGCCCAATATTTTAAGGTTCTTGCCCTGCAGCGCCCCCCCCCTTGCTAATAAGCTGCAATAGGATTCAGCTGTCACCCCTGCCACCCTCCTCCCCTCTGAACAGTGATCCTGGACTCCAGCTTCTGCAGGGTCCTCTAACCACTCCCGGGGGCCAGGTCCACATGAACTATCTGGGGGCTGCCAGGAATCGAACCCAGGACCTCACACTTGCCAGGCAGGTGCTGCTCCACTGGACTACATAGCCCTAGCCCTTTCACTTCTGTTTTTTGTTTTCTCCCCTAGGTTCTTAATTCAGACTCGGCCTCCATCTCCAAGCATCCAGACTGAGGTGCCAGGACTCCAGGAACCAGGATGAGGCTGAGCCAGGGCAGAAGTCGCAGAGTCCCCCGCCCCCACGGAGGACGGCTGGGGGCCCGCCCACCTCCCTAGCCATCCCAGACAACCCAACTGCAGAGCCCCCCAGACCCTCGAACAAACACCCCCTGCAACGCGATAAGAGGGTTCACAAACAGCCCGCCCTGCTGAACTCTGATCTCTTATTATGTTGCCTGCAGAAAATTATGCAGCCCAATCTACCGTCATTCACATGCACAGGGACTTGGGAACACCAGGGGCATAGCAGTCCTTCAGGGTCATTTGAAAAAACTATGGAAATGACTTTTTCACCCGCAAATGCCCCTGCGGGGGCAGCCTGCAGCACTTGCTTCTTTTGTCAGGCAACAGGCCCAACGGGCTCAGGCTGAAAGGAAGGGGCTCTGGGGGTGCAAAGCCCCCAAAGCAACCAGAATGGGAAGGAGGATTTACCCATTGATCGCGCAGGGCCCGTCCTTCCTCTGGCAGTCCTTCCCCGAGTACCCAGGCACGCAGGCACACTCGTACTGCCCGTTGCCGAGGTCCATGCAGGTGCTATTGTTGCCGCAGGGGGTCGAGGTGCAAGCCCGGATATCTGGGGGACAGAAACACCGGACTTTAGCTCCCCCTGTGTGCCAGCATGACAGGGACCCTAAGCGCATTGCAAAACGGCAGCTAAGTGGGGTTCCTAAGAAGATACAGTGACTCCCCCCTAAAATAACCCTAAGTGCTTCAATCAAGAGTCGGGGGGCAGAGGGTTCAGAAAGTGTAAAGTCAGAAAGCCATGGCCACAGGTCTCCGGCACAGGACAGCCGAACCCTTTGCTGGCATCTGCAGCCCGGCAACACATCCTCCACCCTCCTCGCAGTTGCCATGCCCTCCCCTCGGGGTCCCCCGGTGCCTGTCTCCCCCAGTCCTTCCAAGTTCCATGCTTGGGGCCAGGGTCGCTGCCCCTTGGAGAGCCCCTGTCCAGCCTGCCCCTGAAGCTTTCAAGAGCGCTGTGGGGACCTGAGACAGCTGACCCCACCGCGGCGTTGCCTCCCCCTGCCACCCCGCGGTTTTTCTGCTCTCAGGTGGTGAACTAAGGGGCCAGGATGAAACGGCAGCACCTTTTGAAGCCAGCAAAATGAGAACTATTGAGCGCTCCCCCCGTCCGCTCGGGTTCTCTCAAACACTGGTTTATTTCCACCGCCTTTTAACACCTCCCCTCAGCTCTGTTCATTATTCGCGCTCAGCAAGCGGGGATGAGCTGCAGAGGGGCCAGGCCAGGGGCTCTCTGACGGGAGAGACCCCAGCTCCCTGGCAGCGCCCTGTGACGACCGTCGCTTGTCCTGGCTGCTCCAGCCTGCTGCTGTGCGGCAGCAGAGTCCAGCAGCTCCCCACCCCCGCCTCAGTTTCCCTCCTCTAACAGGAAAGGCTCTCTGTCCTTGGAGTTTTCTGTAATTGGAGCTGCTGCACCTGCTAAATAGACAGAAAGCCAGGCCTGGCCACAAACAGCAGAGGCCAAGCAAGGCTGGCAGGGGGCGGGAGGGGGACTTCCCCCTTCTCCAAGAGACCCACAGCCTCGTCGCGGCCGGGGGGAGGCTGCAGTCCATCCAGCAGCAAAAGCCTGAATGCCGTGCTGATGGACTCTCTGTGGGCTCCCAAAGCGAGGACACATAAAGAGGGTTTATCTTCACGGGACAGCGCGGTGAAGCACTAGCAAGAGGGAGCCTCCGCAGGGGACCCTAATCCCCCCCTCCTGCTCTCCTGTCACCTGGCATCTTCAACTTAAGCTAAAGAGCTGGTGACCACCCCCAGCCAGGCCCCGCTCCTCTCCCCAAAACACCAAGCCTCGGGAGCTGTCAGCCTCCTGGGCCCCCAACCTGAGGCAGGGATGGATTACACGGCAGCAGGGAGAAGGCTGAGGGGGCCGGGGGGCGACTCTGCCGGCGGGGGCCGGCAATAATCCAGAAACTGTCCCCTCCCTAGGACCCCAGACTGTGCCGCTGCCTTGCCAAAAAGCCAGGCTTTGTCAACCTGATGGGGAGGGGATGTGCAAAGGGCCCCGGGGGAAGGGGCTTTTGTCTGCAAAACTCCTCCAGGGTGTTCTGAACTGCAGGGTGTTCTGCGTTCAGATACTGAAAAGGGCAGGCTCCAGGCTAAAAGCCTCCCACCGGCCAGACCCTCAATCAGCTCTAAGCTGCTGCTGCTGCTGCTGCAAGGGGCCGGAGAGCTGCAAGCCAGAGCAGCGTGAGTCAGCTGCAGACAAACCCTGCACCACGGGGGCCGGGGGCCGGGGGGACCAGCTACCACGCGGGTCGGAGGCTCCTCTGCCCCTCTGCCCCTCTGCCCCTCAGTCTCCCTGCCTGCACCACCTGTCTCTGCAAACGCTGGGGACTGAGGCCCCGGGGCAGCTACCTCTGCTACTGCCAGCTGATGCTGGAAGATTTTGCAAGGACGTTTGCCCAGACTTTAGGGCAGCTCTCCCAAATGAGAATAGGCTCCAGCGAGCATTTAGCAGCCTGGAGACGCAGTGACAGCCAACTCTCAACTGCTCGGGACAACGCAGAACAAAGATTGCATGAGTTAATGAAATCAGCAGATAACGTCAGCCTGCTTGGGAACCCCCCTTAGCCTCCAGCTACCCCCAACCTCCCGACAGACCTACCCCCGCTGTGAGGGGGGCATCTCTCTCCGGCGGTCCGGCGCAGCACCCCACCCTCCCCCCATTTGTTGCTGGCCCTCCCACAGCCTTCTCCCAGCCTTTCTGTGATTCTCGGCAGCTAAACCCTGAGACAGCCCAAGTCCTGCGCCGTGGCCGGCTGGATCTACAGAGGGGCCTGCAGTCTGTGTCCCACCAGCTCGGTCTGTGTGTGGCGTGTGTTTATTTTGTGCATCTTTATTCAACAGGCAGCCGCCAGCCTGCATGTCGCCGGGTGCTGGCAGGGCAGAGGTGAGCAACATAAAGCGTGGACTTCTGAGGATTCCCCAGGCACCAGCGGGAAGCGTGCACACAGATCTTTACAATAGAGGGCCCGGGTGTGGGGTCAGCGGGCTGGGGGAGGGGAGGCAGCCCCAGGCGGGGGGAGCAGAGCGGGCGAGAGCGGGCAGAAGCAGTGCCCACCTATGTCGCAGAGTTTGCCGTCCCAGCCGTCCTCGCAGATGCACTCCCAGGGCTCTTCGCAGTGCCCGTGAACACAGCCGGGAGGGGTCGCACACTGCTCACACCGGGGGCCCTGCCAGCCAGGCTGACACCTGTAGGGGGGGGCAGACGGGACCGTGAGGGGCTGTGGGGCGGAGAGGGGCTCGGGCTGCTTGTGTGTGGCCAAGAGCCCTGGGGGATAGCTCGCTCACAGCCAGGCCAGTGGGTCCCGGGAGCACACGCGAGGCCACCTGCACGGGGAAGCTCAGAGACCACAGGCTGAGGGACAGACACAGGGGGGCCCTGTGAGCTCAGGGAAGCTGCATTTTGCCGCAGCCGCCGCAGAGCTCCCCGCCTCCCTCCCCACCCAACTCCCCCATCACGGCTCTGAGAGGAAGCTGTCTGCCGCAGTGCAGCGGCCGAGCCCCCTCCCTTCTCCTGGCTCCTCCCACCGCAGCACTGCCAGGCCCCAGAAGCTAGGCCCCAGCTACGCAGTTACCTGCACATGCTGTCATCCTCACAGAATCCACTTTTAGGGTCACAGGCCGGGACGCATTCAGCTCCTGAGACACAAGGAAGGTTACACAACTCACCCCACGAGGCCCCAGGGCCAGGGACAGAGCCCGTCACCTGCCCCCTCCCCTCAGCCCAGGCAGCCATCATCCCTTTGGGCCCTACAGCCTGGCACGCACTGGGCCCTTCCCATCTGTGACGCAGGCAGCTCCAGCTACGCAGTAAAAATTCCCAGCCACGTTCCTAGCTCTGGGGCCACCACAGAACACACCACAGAACACCTTGCCTCCTCCAAACACCCCGGGAAGGGCGGGGGAGGGGCCAGACAAAGGGAAGCTTCTGACCCCCGGAAATTCAGCTAAATCTTCACTTTTGCAAAGTGAGCTGAAGGGGGGTTACAGAATCTGAGGTGTCCCGCCCTGGGAAGGCCCAGGGAGGGTCACCTGACCAGGTAAAGGTACTTTTTTTTTTTTTTTTTTTTTTTTTTTTTTCTTTTTTTCAGGATCATTCCCTCGGGCCCCCAGGTCACATTTTTACCCTCTCCCCTACCCCACACCTCAAGGGAGGCCGCAAGGGCGCTACTGTTAAAGATTCTGATGCTTTAATTGACACCTGCTGTATGCATAGACGCAGGCAGTTCCCACCCCGTCAGACAGTCCCCCCAGCAGCCCCTGGCCCGGTGGGGGCAGGGGGCGCGGCGGGGGGGGGCAACTCTCCCGCCGCCGGAGACATATGGCCGCTGCAGACAGAAGTGTCGCAGCTCGTCATCTAGAGAGACGCACCACGCAGGAGCGGCTCTGGCCGGGCTCCTGTTGCGAATCTGGGGCTACGACGGCAAAGTCAGCCCCCAGCGTCCCCCCAGGCCTGTTCCCGAACGCGCGCGCAGGGTCATCCTCAAAGTTGCGCCGCAGATCGTTTTCACACGAGAGCTCCCGCATCGCCTCGCTTTTCCATGCCGCTTCCAGCGGCGCCGCGCCACCCAAGAGCGAGCGCCGCTTGCGCAGCGCGGGCAGCGCCGG